AATGTAACTTTTATCTAAATCCACTGTATTTTAACCAAATGTTACACACGTGTTTTTCTTAGCTTTTTGCCTCCTCTCTGTTGTTCTCACGTTTGGTTCTGTTGTAAAGTGGTAAAATAATGGAAATTATTAATATGTGTTTCTTCGTTATCGTTATTAAATAGGTCCGCATTTGTTTTTTGTACTTTTTTGAGTCTTTTTTTGTACTTTTTTTTTGCAATCGCTTGATACAAGTGTACAAAATAAAGTTGATTTAAAAATTTCCTTTAGTTACTAATCGTTTGTTTTGAAAAAGAAATTTTTTTATTTTCACAATTTAAAAAGATTAATGAATTTGTTTTTGAAAGGAGTGTTTTCTGCATCAGTATAGCGACTGTTTTTGAGTAAACATTGCGTGAATTTTAGCAACATCGAAAGTTTGTTCAAAATTTACATTATGGATTATAATTTTTGAAGTGTGTTTAACTCGTTCAATTTCCTCTCTCCTTCTTTCTCTATTTTTATTTGACTCTTCAGTTGATATTTTTCTTGAGTGAATCCCAATTTATTTGTATTTTTTCGAAAATTTAATAGATGTTATTTTGAAAAGATTCAACTGTTACTAGCTGTTTTTAAAATGTATTTTTTCAGATTCTCGACTTCAGCTGACAGCTTCTGAATCTTTCCAAGGGCCGTCTCCAAAGTCACCTCCACCAATACCTGTTGTGCCTCCGCCAGTTAGTCCTCTTTCACCAGCATCTAGTGAGATTCTTGGTTGGTCTTGATAACTAATTGCATAATTTCAGGAAAGAACTATTTGGCTTTTAAATTCTTGAAAGCACTTTTGCATTTGTATTTAGTAATTTTTTAACATAGATGAAATTACTTGTTGCTTTAAATTTTCTCCCAATCCTTTCTCAGTGATGGTTTACTATTTTTTCAAATTAAACACTCATCTGTGGATATTATTTCTTTACTAAATCGAAGTTGGATATCGTTAAAGGTCGAAAAACTGAACGCCAGTGGTCAAGCAGTTCGCAAGGGATGGCTGCAACAGTTGAAACTACTCTACGTCAGTGGTCAGCTCCTATTCAGCGTGATGTTCAAGGACAACCACCTCGACAGGTTTATTATTTTTCTTATTTAACCTAAAAGTTTGTAAGAACTTCTCGTCCAACTCTAACCACAGTTGTACTATTGAACACTTTGTTGGACAATTTATCTAAAGTTGAGTTGTGAGCTTTATTATTATTTGGTGTGAAATAAATTACCTTTTGTAAAAGTGTAGTTTGTTTTTTTCATCTTTTTTTTTTGTAAAAAGATGTTCAGTGAACTGTCTGGTAGCAAAGGTCTATGGTTTAAAAAAAATACGAAGTTTTGCGGTTCTTAGCCGCTTTTCTGTGCTTTCCGTTAGACATGGTCTTTTTTATTTGAGTATTTTATTTTATTCGTGGTGGATAGGTTTTTGTATGCTATATTTGTTCTTTTAAGACCTGCTGATGAAAAGTTTTGCTGTTGTAGGAAGTGTAAATGTAGAGCATCAAAGTCAAAAAAGCGTCTAGCAAAAGTTTTTAAAAGGTTTTTAAGTGGTTTACTGGTAGGAGCGAGGGGTTGTGTAATTTTTTTGTTTTTGATGGGAGAGGGAAACGATGTAACATTTGAATGGATGAGCTTTATATGAGCTGTAATTAAAATTCGTTGAAGTTGGAAAGGCGAATGTTTTTTTGCGGTTAAAATTTCACCAAACATAAACAGGTTTGGAAGCAAATTCGTCATTGTTGGTCGGCTCTTATTTGAGAAAGAATCGTTTCTGTTCCAACTTTGTGCCGAAAATGCGCTAGATTCTCCCTCAAAATGTGCTTTTTGAGAATTAAAAAGAAAATTTCTTATACAATTACTTTCTAAACCAAATAGTTTTCTAGCGTTTTGTATTTTCTAATGTATATATTAATTTTATTTTTTTCTTCTTTAATTCAATTGTTCCGGTTGAATTAGCTATTAATTAAAAGTGAGGTTTACTTTTTTTTTTTTGTAGGGTAGTGTTAGTGTTTGTGAAATTGTGATTTGTTTTTTCATTAGCTAGTAAAAGATTGCTTTTTGGGGTGGTAAACTCCATGTCTTATTGATCTTTGCGAAAAAAATTGGAATTTGATAATAGACTGGACGGTTCGATATACGGTCTTAAAAAGTTTGGAAGTTATTTTTTTGAACAATTAGAACCACTCTTCAAGAGGATGCGTTATGTGATACTTTAAAATTTTATTTGTTTGGTGAAAGAAATTTAGCCTCAGAATATCATTTATTTAAAGGACTGGCCAATTACAGCACTCATGTTTTTGATTTTTTATTTCTTGGTCTTGTGAACGAAAGTGTTTTTTTCCAGTAATAGTTATGTTTTTAGTTAAGAGTCACACGTAGAACTGCGAACTTTTAGTAACTTGTGGCTATTTAGAAAATGTCATATAATATTGCTCTGAATTCTGTTTAAGTTTGTGAGCATATTAATTTACATCAAAAAAGAAGAAAGCATGATTGGGCTGTATTTGAATAATGGAGCTAATGAGAAATTGTTCCTGCCTTCCTTTATTACGTGCAGCTTTTTCGTTTAACTCTTACCTTAGGCCGTACTGTGTTCGTGAGATATTTACGTCCAGATTTATTTTAGGTTTGTTTAGGGACATATTTCTGAAATTTCGAATTGTCTTGCCAGTTTAACAAGTTTATAAAAGGGTTCTTCATGAAAAAGTCTTCTTTTTTTTTGTTTTTGCTTTTGAAAAGGAAGTTTTTGTGACTTTCATACACATATTTTTTCTGCTCAGTTTTAATCAGCATTTTTAAGATTTGATTTTTATTTCTATTGTTTTCTTCAAGTCAAGCTGTTTTTCGCCATTTTTAAAAGTTTTTGATATTTGCCTTTCTTTAAACAAACATTCCACCGTCATTGAATACCAAACAGTGGTTGTTTTGTCATATCGCCTCAAATTAGTTGTTTTTTCTTCTTTCTTTTTTTTTCACGAAATTGATAATATTTGTGTCACTCTTGAAGAGACCTAAAATATTTTGTGAGTGAGATTTTAAATGGTGTGATGGTTGAAATTTTTAAATCATATAATGATCCTCACAATGATGGTTTTTGCTTTTCTCGACAAGTAATCCTTATTAAGATTATACTAAATTTTCTTTAATGAGATTTAATTCTTAGTTATTTGAGAAATTTTAGGATTTATCTTTTCAACAGCGACAAGAGTTTTTGGCTCTGTAATCATTTCAGAATTTTGTGTCACTTATTGCTTTTCCTAAATAATTTTCTTCTCATTATTCTTTTTCACCTACTCTTAATTTTAATATAGTCGTTGACTGGGGAACCTTAATTATTATCAGAGTTAAGAAATATTCAAGATGGTGCAGCAACCAAAGTACAAACGTTTTTCTAAGGAATTTATGGAGCGTTTGAAAGTTTTTGTAAGATTTTATGCTTTCTGCTGTAATTTTAATGGCTTTTACATATATTAACGGAATTTAATAACAAAAGTGTTTCGAACTTGAGTAGTTTGGAGGGCGTCAGAATTTAGTGATTGAAAGTTAAGTCCCAAATGCGGAATACCCTATTGTTATTTTGTATGCAAATGAAAATTATTAGGGGCAGAACTTAAATGAAAAAGTGTTATGTAAAATGCGAATTTGGCCACATTTTCAGCAGTTTTTATTGTAGATTTTCGAAAAT